AGTAAACAATTTGTGAATTTATGTCAGCAATATTAAGTAAAGAACAAAAAATAGTTTAAGGGCAACGGTTGCTCACTCTTGCAGTCGAATATTCTACCTTCATCCTTTCCACCACATCAACAACCCCTTTTGTTAGATTATAGAATGTTATGACTGAAAGTTTTTCTGGATCATACTATGAGCATCGTTCTTTAGTTTATGAGGACCAGTTGGTTGTTTACATGCATAATTTTCAAATGTTATGTGTATAAATCATTCGTAAGTCTACAACAGCGTAGATTTTATGCCATATTTCGCAGGTTTATTTGCAATATACTGGCGGAACTTGCATCCTTATCTGAAACCCTCAAGCATCTCATCCACTATTATGTAACTACCCGCCGAGTAATGTTGTAAACACTTCCCAACAAAGTTATCCAGAAAAGCCCGACAAATGCACTCATTTCGTCAAAATCTGTAGGAGAGTAATGTTTTGCGTTCCTGGTGAGTCTAATTTTTTGAAGTTTCTAGTGACTAGACAAAACAATGAGTAGGGCATTGCTGACCGAAGATTAAAATACGAGGCTCGAAAGAAAAGTAATACAAAAAAAAAATTTAAAATGTTTTGCGGTAATGATCGCAGGTTAAATGCAAGTAATGCGTGATGCTTCAAATTGGTAAAAATATACTTGTGTCATACTTTCTTAAAGCCGCGTACCTGACATGCTTCCTATAAAAATCGTAAAAATTTTGGAGGTAATTGGAGTTCCCATTAACAACATTAGATATGCGGATGACACTGAGATCTTTGCCGAAAACATTGAAGATCTTCAGAGACTGGTGACCAGAATATCTGAGTATGGAGCAGAGTATGGTCTAACAATAAATGTCAAGAAGACGAAATTTATGAGAATAACGACCATTCTTCCCCGCTTTAGATGTGTGATTGTCCCTCACAATGAATCGTTCTATTTAAGGTTCCATCGTGAGTTCCTTACGGGGTCTCGTCGTGGCTGAAGGGGGGGTCTCCACTTTTGTCTGGTTCGACGTCTTTTGTGCTCGACTTTCCCACGTCCCTGGTGGTGCACTTTTTGTTGTATTTTGATTCTGGCGTGTGTGCCCACTAGTTTGCTTACCCTTCAATGTGCCTTGGCGTGCCCGTCCGGGTCCTGGGTTCGCTGTTGTTTTCGGGCGTTCGCTCTGCCTGGCGCTGGGCGGGACGTGGGGGGCGACTTGGGGGGGGGAGCTAGGGTGGGGTGGGTTGGGTTGAGGGGAAGGGGCGGATGTGGATTATTTATTGTTAGTTGGCTGGGGGGGGTGGCACGTGGGGGGGTGCTGTGGTGGGTGGGTTGGGGGGGTGAAGTCTGCGGTGTGTGGGGTGAGTTAGTTTACTGGTAGGGGGGTCGTTAGTTGTTGAGGGGGTTAGAGACAACGTGGTGAGGGATGGGTTTGTTAGGCGGTAAACTCGTGGGCGCGCGTTTTCAGGCAGAGATTGCGGGTCTTGGTATGGATGGTGTTATGTTGATAACGAGGTAGAAAGGCGGTGTTACCCTTGGTAGTGGTTATTTGTAGTGGTTGTGTCGTGAATGTGTGCCAATTCGGAAATCGTTCTCAAAATTTTGAGAACGATTTCCGAATTGGAAATTGAAACGTCAATAAACGTATTTTTATCTTTAATTGTGGTTTATTCCCAGTTATAAATAGTTATTAAGATACAATGCCACAAGAAAATAGCTTCAGAACAATATTAAGAAAGGATTAGTATTTTCCAAATTACCCTCTGACGCATTCCAAAATTCCGCAAGTTGAGACAAATACCCTTATCAGGTAGTTTATCAATGATTTGAAAGTTAAAGGTATTTGAAAAATAAACATATCTTTTAATACGTCGAGGGGTCAGGGGGGAGATTTCGGAATGTTTGTGATTGAGGGGAGAGAGTGGACATCAGTTCGCAGTTCAAATCCATCAAATCAGTATCAGTTCAAATTCCAGCACTGAAGGAGCGGCAGTCTCTACTCGCCCCAGCGGCATATTAGTGTTTTAAACCAGTCGGTATATTAATAAGTTCGTGTCAATATTGTATCACCGACAAGTGTGTATCATATGCAAGTTATCGGCGTTTAAAATACATTGTATTTGTTTAAATATATTTGTTTAAACGTTCTTTTCGAATCAGTTTTCTGGGTGGTCCTTCAAAGAAATATATATATATATATATATATATATATATATATATATATAAAGTGAACCTATTTCCCTAAGGAAAAACCTTGTTCCCCAAGGGAAAAAACCAGCGACCTATTACTGGTGCGCGAAACAAAGCCAAAGGACAAAGGTGTAAGGACAAACACCTACATCTTCGCTCAGACGTTAAATGCGACATCAAGGAAAAAACTGGAGCCATTCGAGCTGTAGGTATACAGAAAAATTGTGAAAATATCTTGGACAGAACACGTCACAAACAAAGAGGTTCTGGGAAGGATGAATAAAGAAATAAAAATTTTAAATACAATAAAAACAAGAAAATTGTGCCTATACTGCTTCGTCACGGAAGCAGTATAGGCACTATGATTTAATACCTTGAGTTTGGTTTTAATCCGACGTCGGCCGACGTCGCCAGATGTCGGATCTGGAGAAATACGGTTCCAATGTAGGTGTACACTTACACAAGGAGAGAAAAACGTGGAGAGGCGTAGACTGTCATGGCTACGTAACCTGTGAGAGTGGTTCGGCAAATGAATTTTTCAGAGCAGCTGTCTCAAAAGTCCGAATAGCTATGATGATTTCCGACCTTTGTCGCGGAGATGGACTTGAAGAAGAATATAATGACCTTGGTGTTATCGTAAACAGCAGCTTAACTTGGTCCGACCATACTAATTCTATTTATAAACGTGCTAGCTTCAGACTATATCCTATTCAGAGGTGTTTTTCGAGAGTTTCAATGCAGTCATTCTGTAAACTTATTCTTTACGTTAGACCCATTCTTGAATAGTCTGGAGCAACGTGGTATCTTAATTTGAATCGAGACAAAACTTTGTTGGAAAACCACTTGAATTCCTTTGGAACCGAGAAGACCTTATACAGAAATATTTAGCATGACTAAGCTAACTTTTTTTGAACTTCGCCGACAACGTTGAGATTTAATTAGCATATTTAACATATTAAAATTCAATTTTGGTTAATCTCGATGAAATGTTTACCATGAATCAAAATGAACGGCTCAAAGGTCACCGGTTTAAACTTAAACTGGTCAAAAAAAGAGCTACAAGATCAAGACAGAACTTTCTACCAAATAAAGTTTTTGAGAGCTGAAATAACCTTCTTCATAATGTTGTGATAGACTCCGAAAAACTTAAGTTTGGGAATGTGACGTCGTGTTTCGCGCAGAAAGGCGGACCGTTTCTACCAGTGGCGGACGAAAACCGGTAGCTTTAAAATAAATTTTTATAAGTATATTCACTTAAAGTGAGAATGAGTTTGTCAATTTTTATTTTTATAGTTTTTAATATTTATGAAGTTTATAGTCAGGCATTCAATAAAACAATGAGTAAACTATTAGAAGTACTTAAATAAATAACAAATATTCATTACTTACACTTTATTAACATTGCCAGGAAGGAAGAAAGGGTTTCAACAACTCAAAAAAAAATAAGTGATTTATTTTAACAAATTAAATAATGTATTTATTTTATAAAAAAATATGAATTTTAAAGACTTCTATATTTTGTTATATGACAAAGGAATATCACACAAAAACACGTCTATTCCGAAATTTTAATTACTATCTTCATCATCAGAAAAGCTTTCTTCGGATGAACCAGTATTAATAAAAAAATTTTAAGTGGTCCAGCGTAGAGTCTAATAAATGTTCTCTTGCGATTTGAGTGTTTTCATATTTTTTTACGTGTTTACAAATTATTGTGTTAGCCCACTCTTCTATCAACACTTCTGAAAATTTTGCTCTTGTTATATTTTCAACATCATATTAAATGTTGTGTTATGAGTGGCCACTCTACCTTTTACCAAAGCCCATATTTTTTTAATAGGGTTTAACTCTGGATGATAAGAAGGCAAGCGAAGTACTTGATGGCCATGTTGTTCAAGCTTATAGTCTAACACATAAACTGGTGAAAAACGTGGTTTATTGGCTTGAATAATTTTATATAATTCCGGTTTGGTCAGATTTTCTTGAACGGGAATACTTTTTTCTTGTAACCATTTTACCATAATATCCCTACGGCTAGCAGACGTCACATTTTTTTCGATTAGTACATTATGGTAGGATGCGTTATCAACCACCAAGATCGAATTTTTAGGTAAGTTAGGTATAAGCTGACTTCTGACCCACTTCATAAAATTAAGATAGTTCATATCGTCATCGTAAAAGTCACATATACCATTTTTGATGGTTTCTTCTTCTCCTTGGTCCAATTGAGTTTTTTTTAACACGAGAACGTTTTCTTTTTCGACTTGTAAAATATGAAATAAGCGCTCCATTTTTATTAACTTCTCTACCTTCTTTTCTTATTTTGGATAAGGTGTTTTTACTTATACCTGTAGCTGCTAGAATCCTATCTCTATAATTACCAATGTTAAATATTACTAGATGAAAATATTGACAAACAAAATGCTAACATTATTCTGCTTCCTCTACCAAGGCATTCAAAAACAGACCAAACTGTTTTATATTATAGTTAAAATATTGTTTTTCTTTTAAAGCAAAAATTGTAATTTAAAAGTTTTTTTTGTAATTTTCTAATTTATTTTTGTCCATAATAATAATAATAATAATCTGAGATAAGGCATACATTATTTGGTATACAATTCAATATCCTCGAAAAAATAATCTTTAAAAACATTAAAATTTAATAAAAAAGAGACAAAAAAATTGAATTGCAATCTTAGTACTCATTTACTACAGTCCATTTTTATCAACACTATCTTCTCATATAAATAGAATCTTAAAAAATACAAATGATCTTAAAAACTAGTCAAAAATTATTTATAACACAATACTTACTCATTATAATAAATTTCATCATACAGTGACCCAATCTCTTCAGGATCATCATCAGTAAACATCGGCAGTTTACAGTTTTGCCTCGTTGGCGGATTAATCATTCCACTGCCTCCTGCGAACGAGGAAAATCGTGGCGTGTATCTGTCCCAATTCGAAGGCATGCTTGCAGTATCCAAGGACCTTCTTATCCTCCGTGGATTTAGCTGATGATGTACTGTAGCTTCGAGGGCCATCTGTAGTTGCCTCTCTTCCTCTTCTTCATTTTTTAATACCTAAAGATGAATTTGCATATATTAATTTTGGTTTTAAATAAGTAGTTATACAAATATTGCTAATGGTTAAAATTATATTGCAATATTGGGTTTGTATAAATCTGTCGGAGTTAGTTCACAGATAAAGTTTAGTGGGTTCTTTGCTAACCACTTTAGGATGCTAGAAGATAAATTCAAATAAACATCAGTATGTTAACAAAACATTTCTTATAAAAAGTATTTTTTTATTGATATAAAATATAATATATTGAATACACTACTATATCTGTTGCAAAATCAATGATTTCCTATAGTAACAATATTATACAGATATTATCGTTCTAAAATATATATGAAAGATAGTTGATGGAAAATGTGTGAGATTGTAAAGCAGAATTTGCTTTGTTTTTTTAACAATCTTAACCCATTAACGCCCAAACAATGAAAAACAATAATTTTTCCGTATTTTATTATTGAAACTAGTTAACGCATGTTTTATTGACTAGAATAAAACATTCGATAAAGTACGATATAAACAAGTAATGAATATCCTAAAATCAAAGAAGATTGACTACAACGACCTCAGGATCATATCAAATTTATAATATAAACAGCGAGCAAAAGTATGTGTTAACGAACAGCTATCAGAAGATATTGAAATTACAAAAAATTGTTTAAAATCCTTTATAAAAGGTATATAAAAAATGCCCCAAACGGGCTATCACAAACACATTGCAAAACGTTTTCGGATTGATAAATCCATCATCAGTGCAAACGGTTATACATGCCAGTAGCCACCAAAATATATGGGTCAAAACTCTTTAAATGTTTTAAATTTTTAGTTGTTTTACATTATTAATAGTTATAGTTGTTATCAACAGGTCCTCGTAGACATTTCGTCTCAGGACCATTTTACTTATGTAGAGTCATACGCCGCCATGTTACCTATCCAACGGTAACTTGAACATCACAAATTATAACTATTAATAATGTAAAACAACTACAAATTTAAAACATTTAAAGGTTTCGACCCATATATTTTGGTGGCTACTAGCATGTACAACCGTTTGCACTGATGATGGATTTATCAATCCGAAAACGTTTTGCAATGTGTTTGTGATAGCCCGTTTGGGGCATTTTTTATATACCTTTTATAAAGGATTTTAAACAATTTTTTGTGATATATGGTATACAGCCAGCTACAGGAACTTAGTTTCCTAGTGGAATTTTATATTGAAATTAGATGTGCAGTGAGACAGGGATGCGTATTTTCGCCAATTCTTTTTAACTCTGCCTACTCCGAAGAGATCCCGAAAAAAGCTTTTAAGAGTGAAACAGCTGGAATAAAAGTAAATGGAGTTCCCATTCACAACATTAGATATGCGGACGACACTGTGATCTTAGCCGCATTAAAGATCTTTAGAGACTGGTGACCAGAATAGCAGAGTATGGAAAAGGGTATGGTCTAACATTGAATGTCAAGACGACGAAATTAACCCGAAACATTGGTCTAACGGACCACAGCAAAAGGATAGTCTGCTAATGGCGGCAACAGTGTAGGCCGCATGTAGTGTCTATTTAAATACCTTCTTAATAGTGTAGAACGAGCATAGTTCTGCAGTATCGTAGCCATCGCTTTAGTTTACGTCGTAGTAACAGTAGTTTTCAAAACGTGTAGGTCTAGTAAGCCAGTTGTTTCGAATTGCAGTGTTTTATGATAGGTCTAGCAGGCCACTTGTTACGGATTGTGTACTGATAAACAATAAGGTAATTCATATTTTTTGTATAATAAATATAATAACTCAAATTTTTTTTAATTTTGTAGTAATAATGAATAGAGCAGGACCTAGCGGAACTGGACGTAATAAAAAAGTAAATCTGGCTGACCCAGATTTTGAAAAGAATATACAAAGATTACTACTTGCCAATGATCAAGATTTATATTTATCAGACCAATGGACTGACGAGAATATGAGAGATATTATAGATGATTCGTATGAAGATCCCGACATGTAATTCGGCAAAATGAACTCTCTAGCAGCGAAGAATCGAATTCAGATCACAAACTTTTGGAATTAGATGAATCGTCGAATTATTTACAATCCAGAACCGACATTTTACAAGTAAAAGGGGATATAAACATATTGAAAAGAAAAAATGGTTTTCAGTGGCAGGGAATGGAGCCTCCAAGAAATAAAAGGACACGAACACATAACATTGTCAGAGAATTACGAGGCATAACAGCGGTAAGCAGAACTCTGGGAACTGGTCCTTCTAAATCAGATATTTGGAAGTTGTTGCTTACTCATAAAATGTTGGAACAAATTGTAACATGGACAAACCAAAAAATTATTATAATGAGAGAAAAGTTATCTGATTCGACTAATACATCAAACTACAGAAGCACAAATATAGTTGAGTTGAAGGCTTTGCTTGGGCTTTTTATGCTATCTTCAATTATAAAATCTTCTTTTATATATCTTCAATTATAAAATTTTCGGTCAGCCAATATTCAAAATGACGATGTCTTTGAAAAAATTTAAAATACATTTATCGTGTCGTAGATTTGACAATAGCATGGATCGCGAAAAGCGGAAGAAAACTGATAAAACAGCGGCTATTTCAAATATTTTTAATAATTTTGTGACTAATTGCCAGAGGCTATACACGTTGTCAGATTTTGTAACTGTGGATGAGATGCTACTTCCATTTAGAGGTCACTGTGGTTTTCGAATTTATATGTCCAGTAAACTTGCGAAATACCGCATAAAAGTAATGTGCATGACAGATGCTAAGAGCTCATATTTCTATACTGGATATATATATATATATATATATATATATATATATATATATATATATATATATATATATATATATATATATATACCTACGTAGGGAAAGATTCGGATGGTGTTGGACTTTCAGAAAAAGAACTGAAGCTTTCCAAGCCTGCTTAATGTGTCATTCGACTATCCAAACCAATAAAGGGCTCTAACTGCTGAAAACTATTTTTCTTCAATAGTGTTAGTCACAGAGTTGCAAAAACGCCACCTCACGTATGTGAGTACAATAAAAAAATATAAGCGAGAAGTTCCTTTGAAATTCCAGGCTAATAAAAGTAGGGAAATTGGTACAACACTCTATGGTTTCTCCAATGACATAACCTTGATATCATATGTACCGAAAAAAAAATAGAGCTGTTCTTTTATCATCCTCCATGCATCATAGCAAAGACAATGAATTATGAAAACCAGAAATAATTCGATACTATAACAGTAAAAAATCGGGAGTTGATGTTTTAGATATGAAGTGTGCAATTATAGTGCAAACTGCTGGACAAGGTGTTGGCCCTTAGCCGTATTTTATACACTTATAAATATAAGTTCAGTCAACAGTTACATCCTTTATCTTTGTTACAAAGATAATAAATTACTTTCACGTTTTAACTTTGTAAAATATTTGACCTTTGAACTAATTTAGCCTCATCTAAGGCAAAGACTTGAAACAAATCTTCCCCGAGATCTTAGAAAGCAGATAGAGATTTTTTAGAAATAAATCCCGAAGTGCCTGTCGAGAATATCGTCGACAATGTTCCAGATGATAAGCTTCCCAAAAGAAAATTGTGTAGCATTTGTCCATCATCAAAAATGAGGAAGACGAACTATAAATGTGTGAGTTGCTCAAATGCTATTTGTTTGGAGTGTAGTAGAAAGGTTTGCGTTACCTGTCTTCAAAAATAGTAGGTAGCTGAAGTATATTTTTTGTTTTATCTAAAAATATACATGTATGTTTATTTAATTACGCCTAATAATGTTGTTTTCTATATTAGACTGTAAAAATGTAAATAATTTTAAAATAGGTACTTTAAAGTTGTCTAAAATTTTTGTAAATTTTTTTGACTTTTGTTTACTATAACAGATCTGCTAAGTTTCCTTAAGTAATAAATCACACTATATGTAATATTCTTATCTTCGGAAGCTCAGGATATGATCATACCGATGCTCTGGAATATTACCTCTTAAGACAGATATCAGTGATATTAATTTTAGGTCAAGATTAATACGCTTTTCGATGATATTATTAGTTTAGTATCCGTCTTAAATAAAAATTCTTTACTAAACTATGATATTTTTAATAAATAGTTAACATTTTAAACACTGACTTAATAAAAACAAAAAATGTCTTTTATTATTTACTAAACAACGATTTCCCTGAATCCTCAAGACAAAAATTCATTTTCCCAATTGCACCTCTGGGTGATATTTCAATCGAAAATATTACGTTTGTTCGGCTGATACATTTGTCCCCGCTACAACTTTAATTAAAGTACGAATAAATCGTCTCTCGACAATATTTTCTGTATCTCTGAATGGAAAAGCGAGCTGAATTTCAATTGATATCTTTTCATAACAGGACAATACATTTTTTCGAACTCAGATAAAAAATAAATAGTTGGTGATTTTCTTAAAAAAAAAAAATTACGAAAAACATTTGTGACCATAAGAGGGGTTTGGATATAATATACCGGATAAGTATAAAGTAAAGACCTTATAAAGCAAAATTTATAAATATTTTTTTTTTCGATAGAACCTGCTCTTCGCAATTTAGATCTGATATTTTCTCACTACAGTGACCTTCTTGAAGTGCCGTAGGTAATTATTTTAAGTGGCAATGACTTTCTGATTGAAGGAAAAATGCTAATCAAGAAGATTTGATAATGCTGGTAGTTAGCGAGCACACTAAGGGATACTCAAAGATGATAATGGTAAACTCATTACGGACATCAACAATAAAGTAAGATTTTGGCAAGAATACTTAATGAAACTATTCGACGATGATAGAATGATACAAGAAAAACCACAAGAGCAAACAGGACCAAAAATAATAATGTGCGAATTAGAACAGGCAATTAAAAATGCAAAGACCGCAAAATCAGTAGGCTTAGATCAGATACCCACTGAGCTAATTACTCGAAGCTAATTGACGAAGAAACACTGCATATACTTTTAGATCTGTTT